ATAAAGTAGCAGAGATAGTCAATTGTATCATTTATGTGAAGCTAAATCTATTGAGAACATCTTTCATCTAGCTAGCTCAAGATGTGCCACCAAACCCAGAATTTCAAAAGTATCCAGACGGCTGTACCTTGCTATGGCTTTGTTGACCGGGTCTGTGTGTTTCACAAGCCAGTTTACAGTCAAATAATAGGGACAATTGCGCATTTCCATATGGTTCTTAGTGGTACACCTTCCTTGTGGAAATCAGGTAAGCAACAAAACTTTAGTATTACTGTTCCACTATGTCTGGCTTAAACACAAAAATATCAGTGTCTGTTATATTATCTTGTCTCAAAAGGCGTAAATATCGTGTCACGACCTTCTCAATTGCCGGCAACTTATCTTGCACTTTATACTTTACAGAAATTTGGTGCCCCACCTAGCATGGTATTTATCTTATCGGTATAATCCGAATTGTTCATCAATAAAAGCCCAGGTCCTTTATCTGCTCCAAACAACGAAAAAATATCGATTTTCCTGAGTTGCTTCAAAGCGTTTAAATGGCTACACTTTAGAAAATATATCATGGTCTGTTTTCGTATCACGCATTGATAACATGTCCTGACCAATTGGAGTTTGTACTGCTCAGCTGCTAATGTAAAGATGGTGTGGAAGTCTAAACGTGACAATAGATATTTGCGAATTGGATTACCAAGTCTGTTTTGTACTATTTCGGGGGCAACAGAATTTCGGGCCTTGTGTGATGTGTTCGTTTTGTATCCTGTCTAACATCAAGGAGGATAAATTATACAATTATCTTTCATAAGCAACTGAAAATTATTTACTAGACTTTTCGAAGAGATCTACATCCGTTATGAGGCTATTCGTACTTCCAATCGCTATGCCATAATTTTCTGTACAAATGATTGGAACTGCTTGTGTTCCTTATCAAGCAATTCACTCAGTGGGTCGAAATAGCCACATGGGTTACTGCTAAGCTCATTAATCCTAAAAGTAGCTATGTATCGTTTGTGCATAGTGCGACGCTTCAAAGCTGTACCTGCCGGATAGCCTCCATTACGTCTGAGCACCCTACAAAAAGGTTTTGGATATTCACATACATTTATCCAAAAACTACCATGTCGTCTTCGCTACCGCAAGTCTCGTGTTAAACGTAGCGTACTGCGTAAGTGCTCTCCACAAATTGGAATCCTTGGACAGATGCAATTGAGAAAATAATCCCAGAAAAAGCATCAGAAGCAAACGACAGCTAGGCTAACTAGCTAATATTTTGGTTCACTCTCTTCGCTGAGTATTCATAATGTATTAGAAAAATGTGTAGAATCGTATTCTACTGGTACTGGTACTGGTACTGGTACTGATACATACGGGAAACCGTATATATCAATATCCCCGTAATGTGTTTATAAGTTCAATTGGGGTAAAACCGGAACGCCCACCTGAACGAATGGTGGTTAGAATATTACTCATGAGTAGTAAGCATGTAGTTATACTTTTTTGTGGTATTCATCCCAATAGTTCACAAGCTACTTAGCACAGACTAGTCCGGAAAAGCACAGCCTCAACGGTCATGGGATCGATCCCCAGTAGGTGACCGACGGAATGCGCACCACTGTGATGAATCCCAATATACAAGTAAAATCCTGCTACTCACAAGTAATATAAGCTAAATATTCCACCCTAGTTTGAAAGACTGTAGATATAGCGTCTAGTGAGAGGTCATCACATTGCAGACCAACCATTGTCAGTGACAGCGGAAGATAAAGGATGCTATATCTCCGTTAGGTTAAAAATTATTTAGCCTAGATTAAGTCCCCCATGGCCCAGTAGCCTAAGTTGCTGGCTAGTTGGCATCCGCCTCTAGCGGTCATGGGTTCGATCTCCAGTAGGGGACCGGGGAAAAGCGCATCACTGACACACGTTATTAGGCGAAACGCGTTTGGTGCTTTTCCCGAGTAAGTTGTACTATGTAGCTTGTGAACTACTGGGATGGATACCTCAACGAAATTAGAATAGTAGTGAGCTCGGATTTCTAAACGGTTAGCGATGTTTTCGACAGCTGTCTACGATAAATTAGACTAGGCATTTTATGACAGTTTACCATTCGTCTAAACTAACATTTTACATAGTTTGTTATAAAAAAAGCAAATGTATGTCAAAATTATCCGAGATGGTCAACCAGAAAATCCAGCGTGGCTTTTGCTACAATGAGCTAGATTTCCTAATTGTGTTAAAAGTTATCAAATTCATCTTCCTTGGGGGAGTTCTGTTAAATAAAATCTTAACTAAAACTACATATTCGCAGCCAACCACGATCCATCCCACTGAATTCAGATCACTTACGGAGGCTAATCCGGTGCACAGGTAACCCCATTTCAACTAAATTTGTTGTAAATTCTGGTTATGGTTACTACTGAAGATGAACTCCTTATGCGTATTCCAGTGTTGTTGTTAACCGGTAGTAAGTTGCTTGATGGATGGTTTTTCAAGCCGCGTTATCTTATGCATCAAATAACTTAAACGGTCTTTTTATGAAGAGTAAGAAATGTCTAAGGATATTGTTTTAAATACGACTTTGCAAATAGTCATGGCTAGTTAATCACTTTCATACTGCATAGACGACTTAGCATATTTGGTTTTCATTAACCATTGCTACACTTCAGGTATCGTTGCGGATAGTGCACACATACATAAGAATCTTCAAATTCTGTCATGGATATAATCATTTGCCTCGTTAATCGCTAACTCCATGGCAATCAGGTTATAGCACGTCATTTATTGCATGCAAAATAAAGTAAAGAAAAAATAAGCACGAATATCAAGCAAACTATGCGCCAGGATGCAAAATATTTTTACGGATTTTGAAATACCAAGGAAATCAAACGGTGGGTGCTGAAAAAGTAATCCTATTAAAAAGTCAGAATTTCGCTTAACGAATAAATGAGTCATTTTGAGTCATATTGGAAATCAAATTCAGTACCGAAAATAAAACAAAGCCTACCTTGATTACTCTTTGATATGAGCCTCTGGTTTGCTCGCTCGATGGTAGATATGAATAGCGCGGTCAGGACGCTTTGTTTATTAAGGTGTATTGTATTGTCTTCTTTGAAGAGTACTGAATTTCTTTGAGCCATACAGTCCGGACCATCGAAGATCACAAAGTAATCCGCAGTCACTTTCTCAGCTGGCTCCAGCTAATATGAACATGATGTAATTATTTCCGCAAATTCGTTTTCTAACTAAGTACATGCGTACAAATGTTTTTCTTCATTTACCATATATTACTGGGTAATATCTTATATCACGTACTTAAACCAATTAAAATGAATTAGCTGTAAATGTACCTTTTATCATTTTGAACGTAATGAGCTAGGAATTAAAAGGTCTACCTAATGCTGAGGCCAATTGTTCCTTTTAAGAAACTACTCGGTCTAAACCAGAAGACTACGTTCTGCAAACCCATCAACGTTCACCAATTTTGGAGACACAACATTCGTAAAAACAGATGTTCATGGTATTTCACATGGATTTAAAGCCCTACTCCTTTCTAATTATCTTTCCTGCAGGAAATGAAGAAAAGCATTGCGGATACTGTTGCGTAGGCCATTCATTAATAAAACACTATATCATACTTTCCAATGTACTTAATCGTCCACGGAACTGATGTCAGTATGTTCAACACAACAACTTCAATTTTTTATGGTTTCCTGCTTGCGCCATTTCCGGTAAAATTGGTGGCTTAAAGTGATCGTAAATGAGTCTGTTTTGTGTTTTAGACATTGGTTTTTGACAGCCTTTTTAGATGGAATTATAATCAGCTTAAGGCACTAAGATGATAGCTCATTCTGGATAAACTCAACGTTCTAAGTATTATCTACTGAACAGGCTGACGGCGGTTTCAGCTATTTCCTTCCCCACAACGGCAAACTTCTATCACAGGCCTGGACCAGTACGTAACAGATGTTCACAAATTTTGTACAAGTACTGGTTCTAATTACCCAAGTTACCTATTTATGCAGGTACATCAACTTTGGTAGCCATGTTATAAAAGACATTACTTCATGAACTTGATAAGGCAATTTAACATAAAAAGTCACCGTCTTATGCCGGATGAGGGATATAAACTTTTCGTAAAGTAATGGTTTTACAAACATGATTCAATCTGTAATATGTATATCTTAACTATCTTATTGTAACCGCAGAGAACGGGATGGCAAATCAAGTTTCAGTGGCGTTATTTCCTTTGCTCAATAAATGCGCAGCCACATTTAGTCCATTAAAATATTTTATTACTGAATCATCATACCAACTAATTTGCGTGAGGCAATATACAACACCATTAAAGAATCTGAGTAGATAAATAAAGAAACACTATTTCCACATTGGATACGAAAGCACGAGGAAAAATGTAACATAGATATAAACTGCATAACCTTTGGGAAGTGAATGGTGATATTCACATACTGCTTATGAGAAGGGACTAATATTCGACACATTATATAACCACAAAACAAAGTGACTCGTGTGTCACTCGCCGTGCTGGTCGGGATTATTTCGTTGCTCCGGTCTTCTCAAGTTTCCGGATTCAAATTTCTTCGCACATCGGCCTGGGTACACTCATTCAATCGGGCTCGATCAGGTCTACCCATTGCGCAAGCTTTCTTGACGGTACTATAAACGGATCAACGTCAAAAGCTGGTTTTCAATTTTGACTGTGTTTCAGCACGGCCGTTTGCCTACAAGTGCACCAATTTTCTGCCTTTATCAAGGTTTTTGGACTTATCAGAAAGCTTACTGCTAGGTCTTTTTCAAGAGACCTAAACCAAACCCTGTTGGTAGCTGCACAAGGCAACTAGAAGCAATTATATTTTCATACACCGCCTTGGTTGACCAAGATCTCTCACGTCGCATTGTGAATCGCGCTCTATCGAACGCACGCTCTATCGAACGCACGCAAATCTCTTTGTTGGGCCGGATTTGTGCGTGTGCGCCTGTTGGAACTGCGGCATAACGTGACGCGGCGCGCCACGGAATTGACCTCAGGGCTACCTGTGCACGGAGCGGTCGATTTTTGAAGGATAATCTACCCTCGGCGGAGTTTGGACAACTGAGCGCTCTTACAACCGGTTGGTTTGTATCGATCATTGCATCTGTAACCGTGGCCTGTTTGGACCTGTGTGAATTCTCGTGCACTTTTGATAGGTCGTATAAGCCCTAAAATCCTAGTCTGTTTCCTCGGCGGTTTGTCGATAACTGTTTAATTCCTCTTGATCACTGAAACAAAAACGGTGAAATTTGTCCCGTATTTTCTTACCCTTGTCCACATAAAATAGTTTTCACAAGCCCCAAAACCGAGTGACCAATCAGTAAAAATGCTCGTTACCTCAGTTAAAACAAGAAACTCAAAGAAGAGACAGGAAGCCATTGCAATGCTGGCAAAACATCCTGCTTATAACCAATCCGTCAGCACGGAAAAAATTAAAGGCTCATCATCTAAGATAAAAATAAAGCCGAAGTTGCGCGAAAGAGTAGAAAAGCAATCAAATGATAGTTCTCATAAGGTCTCTCTGATAGAGCACAGCGCAGTTACTGCAGAATCGCCCATTAAAGCGATTGAAACGATTGCTGCGCTTGAATTACAGCTGAAGGATTTGAAGGAAAGGTTTGAATCTCTGTACCAAGTGCTAGAGCAATTTAACTCGATTAAGTATCTTTTTAATACTCCAGATACACCAAAAATCGAACACCTTCGATCCGTTGGGAATCTTATACAACATGTTGCATTTGAGGTGCATGATCGCATTAAACGCTCCAAAAATGTTATAGCATTTAATTTACCAGAAAAGTTATCTCTTGAGTCTATCTCCTCTGCAGTGGCAAACGACTGTCATATTGAAAGACGGCAGTTTTCTTGTGTGAGGCTGCGAAAGAAATCTCCGAAGCAGGTCTGTCCAGTACTCTTTAAATTTTCAAACGACACACTTGCTGAAAAATTCATTTGTAGTAGGAGCGCACTATCCCTTAGGAAAGATTACGTATCCATGGTCCTGAAACCAGATTTAACAGTACTACAAAGGGAGTGCAAAAAAGCCTATTTCCGACAAACAGTCTGTGACCAGTATGTTCCGCCACCCACGGAAACTCAGGAACTTCCCCACCTGGTTGACCTAGATGACACTCTGATCATAAATGAATCAGCTCTTAGGTTGAAATCAGATAGCAACTGTCATAAAAATATCGCTTCTGACTCCATTCAGTGTCACATTAGTCCAGCATTACCGCGCAACTCGTCCCCGAACATACAAGAAAGTTCCATTGCGCAAACGACTATTTCTACTCACTCTTTGTCGTTCACCAACCAGGTGCATAGACGCTCTGGTACGAAACTGAAAACCTCCTCTCCTAAAAGCTGCGAACCTTTAAAACTGCGGAACAGCCCTGTTGCAAAGAACACTGGTAGCAAAACCTCACGTGGAATCTACACGGGTGCTCCTAAACACAATAAAAACACGGCTATTTTAAACATTCCACCAAACGCTGTCACCACTGAAAACCAGCAGACAATCGGCATATCTCCAACCATGCAGCATTTGAATATGCGACCTGTGTGCTCCATAACTTGTGAGCCACTTGTTAGGGAACTTAAAGTAGCTGAGAGAAATTGGCCCAACCAAAATCCTCTCAAACTACCTCAACATGTAAATAACCTTAACTGGCACGTAGGTTATGTGCAACAGCCAGAAAATTGTAATCTCCCAGTGGGTCGCCATTTTCCCAGTATTTCACCCTTCCAACCTTTTTTGGGGGTCCAGTGGCGTTCTACCCGCCACACCCCCAAATGACACTAATTCCGCAAATTATATGTCCTCCGTATCCACCACCCCCACTCCACTCTCTCCAAATACCACCTCGTTGGGGTCCTGTACCTGGATTCCTGTAGACAACCCAACGGACAACAAGACACTGCACTTACTTTTAATTAATTCCCGTTCACTGTTAAATAAAATGCACTTCCTGCGTAATATCCTTCACCTTTCTTCTCCTGATATAGTACTAATTACAGAAACATGGTGTTCAGCAGAGATGTCTGACACATTGTTCAGGATACTGGGTTATAACATCTTTCGTAATGACCGTCTTTATGGTAGAGGTGGTGGCTGTATAATCTACGTCAAAGACAAATACTTGGTTCTGCCTCTGAATGAACCATTCCTCCAGAGACTTCCTGATTCGGTGTGGATTACAATTTCTATTAATCCAACAAATCTCTTAGTAGGTTGTATTTACAGACCCCCATCTTCTACACTCACCGTGACCGATGACTTGTTGGACACTTTCTCTCTTATTGCTGACCTCTCATACACTAACAAAATAATCGCTGGGGATTTTAATATGCCCGAAATCCCGTGGTCCCTTAACAATAAACCACAAAAACACAATCCTTTTATGTCTACTCTTGATCGACTGGGATGGGTACAGCACGTCACAGAACCTACACGACTTGGAAACACACTTGATCTAATATTTACGATGGGATGTTCGCATGTGTCCACATACATCAGTGATAAGTTGCCGGGTAGTGATCATAACATTGTTGGTTGTTCTTTCCAAATTCTTTCTAAACCGACAGAATCAGTGATAAATTATCGCCCATTCTCTTCTGTGAATTGGTCAATTTTCTCGGATCTTATAAGGTCTTCATATTGGGATCCATTCTTCTTAGCACAGAATGTACAAATTGCTTGTAATGAATTCTACCACCGCATTCAGCTTTGTGTTGAAGCTGTGGCTCCAGAACGTACTAAGAAGTTGAAAAGGACTGCTGCTCCTGCAGGTATCTCAAAAAAGGTAGCCACTAAACTTTATAAAATAAAGAAAAAATTTAGGAAAACTAATGATTTTACTCTGCTGATGCTCCACACCAGATTGCTTACAGCGTTATACCAAGACCACCACAAAATGCTATGCTCTGAGGAAGTAATGGCACTGAAGGGCGCAAATGTGGTAGGCTGCATCTCAAAACTTTTGGACCGTAGGCAGAATAGAAAATCAAGTTGTATAAACACCATTGTAAACTCTGATGGAACTGCCATAACCGACGGTGCAATCATATGTTCGATCTTCAATGACTACTTTATGTCTACTTATGGCGCTAATGCGAAAGATGATCCTCAGCTCAAGCTGATACACAGAGGGAGTAATACACTCCAAACTGTTGAATTTACACTTAGTGACATATGTCGCCAACTCAGATTAGTTCGGCCATCATGCTCACCAGGCCCTGACAACATCCCTCCAATACTGGTAAAGCACGGAGGTCCAGACATCCCCCTGTTTTTGCTTAATGTATTTACACTTTCCATGCTCAATGGGGAGTATCCTATACACTGGAAACAATCAACTATAATACCAAGGCACAAAAGCGGATCTATGCAAGATGTAAAAAATTACCGCCCAATCCACCACACATCTATTATTTCCAGAATCATGGAGAGGATAGTTAAAGAACGCATAATAGAATATTTGAGTTCTATGAGCCTTCTCAGTAAACATCAACACGGTTTTTTGAAAGGTAGGTCGTGCACTACCTGCCAGTTAGATTACCTTGATTATGTGACTAGAGCAAGAGACGCCGGAAGTGCTATCATCGTAATATTTCTTGATATCCAAAAGGCTTTTGACCGTGTCCCACACAATTTATTGCTGCTGAAGCTTATGTCCTATGGTATCACTAATTCGCTTCTAGACTGGTTGTCTTCCTACCTCGAGGGTAGAAAGCAAGTAGTCAAAATCGGTAACTATACATCTGAAGCCACTACAATCTCTAGTGGAGTGATTCAAGGTAGCGTGCTAGGCCCGCTTTTATTCTTAATCTATTTCAACGATCTCCTCGACGAAATCTCGTATGGAAAGCCGTACCTTTTCGCAGATGATGTTAAAATTGTGTATTGTTCCACCCCTGGGCAACGTAGTCCTAACTTAGCCTATATTCAGTCTGACTTGTCCGCATTGGAGCTCTGGAGTAACTCCTGGAAGCTGCACTTTGCCACGGACAAGAGTAATCTATTGTACTACGGCTGTGGCCCTTCTCTAAACATCCTTACATTAAACGATACCCCTATTCCTGTGTGTGGCGCAGTCCGAGACCTTGGTCTAAGATATTCTGCCTCATTTAACTTTTTAGAGCATGTTATATTCTTGCAGGCTTCTGCCAGAAAAGTGATCGCCTATATAAGTCGAACTCTTATTTTGAGGGATTCCAGGCTTCAAGCCTTTAAAATATGTGTTAGGCCGAAACTTGAGTACTGTACGATAGTGCATAGTAATCTGAGAAAAGTGGATATTATAGCACTAGAAAACATTCAACGATCATTCACAAAAAGGTTTCTGAACATGCCTAATACTATGACATACCGTGAGCGTTGCGAGGCGCTAAATCTGGAGCCGCTATGGCTACGCAGACTCAAACTTAATCTGTGCCTTTTATACCGCTTACTATTCGGATTGACCTTCACTGCTCAGCCACAACTCGAGTTTCAGACTCGTATGCGCTATGAACTAAGAAACAGCGAGCGCACAGTGAAAATACCAAAGTCTCGCACAATGCTCCGCTCAAAATTTTTCTCTGTAAAATACGCGTTAATATGGAACAAACTTCCATCGAGTGTTAGAAACTGCACTACCTATGCACAATTCAGACGCATGATTAATATTCACCTGACTGTTGCAAACATCTGGTCAACACTAAGCCAAACGGTGACTCTAGATGATTTGTATGAGAAAGGTCCTGGATACGTATGAAAGTCACCATATCCTCTATTCGTTTCAATAATATAAGATTACCTACATATAATTGCATTCTTGAGTATATATTTGAGAACGATCTTACTCCTATTAATCCGTTTAACCAATTCTGTTTTCTCCTTTGACGCACTGGTTCGTTGATGCACTACGCCTTCCAAGCTGATGTCTCTGTACCATCGTCGTCACTCGCCAAGATTTTCCATCAAATTGTGACTGGCCTATTGACTGCTAATCATTTCAAAACCCTTATGGGAACCTTTGATCAAAAGACGAACAATTAACTATATTATGCGATCACGTTGTACATGTTGATAAGACCACCCAATTGGTCTTTGCCTCGCACTGCTGAGGAATAAAACGTTTATTTATTTATTATTTATAACCATTTCATGAAGGGAACACAGTGTTGCTAGTGCTTGTATATATATGTTATCACGATAGGCATTAAAACGGCTAGCTTTCTCAAAATTCATAACACTTTTGTATGCGAAGCTTAAGTTAGGATGGATCGAATTAGTTAGGTTTAAAAGACAAATATTTCCCATGAAGACTTGGAAATGCCTCGACCTTCAACATACATCTGAGAAAACAAAGGTGAATGATAGCAGTCTAATGACATGAAACTTCTGTGTGGTAGCACAGTTTTGACTGCTGGATCTTTCTGGATTTACTTCGGAGCACTTTGGCCCCCAGTACTACATTTACGGTTATCCAAAGTTGATTTAATATTTTAGAATTGCATTTTTATTTGCATCCTAACACTGTCCACCTCAACACTAAACATGTCCAAAACACGCGCCCAAAATGATCTTACTTAGCAGCGCATGTCTAAGAACTTGCCGTTGTTCAAGTGTGTGTTTTGATAGCTAGTTAATTAGTTAGAACGAACTCGCACTATGCGAAGTTGACTGTGCTCTTTAGTTCGGCTACCAGCCTTATACTGATCAATTCACTGCAATTCTTACGTTTTATTGCGTTAAACAATTGCAGCTTTGCGTAGTTAATTAAAACTACGCTTACATCCGCGCGACCGCCCCTTGAAGTGCTTAGCAGTCGTTGGATCTAAAATCACTAGCCATCTACGCTTCTCCACTGGCAGTTGACGCCTGACAAACTGAAGGAACCAAAAATGATTGATAAGTTAGCAGCTGATCCGTTTTCTTTGAAATGAACTCGAACAATTGGGACAGTGTAGATTTCAAAACGGTGCCTTATCAATCGTGTGATCTGTCTTTCCCAACTTTATACGAAACACAATAAACTGGTCATGTAGCATTCCACCTTGACCATCAAAAATATTTGATGTTTGGCTTATTGTAACAGTTCTTTAAAATTAGACAGACGGAAGTGGTGTAAAATGGTTTTCCAGATAATTTCGTTAGCCTATAAACGCGAAAAATCTTCAAAATTCTTTTGGCAAACAGAAATAAAGATCGATCGGTGCTGCTTGGCTGCATCTTGTATCAGCCTCCGTCCCAATAAAATTGCGTGTGTTGTTGGTTGTACGTCAGTTCCATTAAGCTGGTTACTATTCAGTCAACTAGTGCAAAATATGTCTATTATGTTCCCTGTGGGTTCTTCCTAAATATGGTGTATTGGTTAAAAATAATAATTAACTATTTAGGCAACATGTTTGCAAGTAATCTTCCATGCTGCCTAACATTCAATTGCATATTTATATGATGCATGAAGTCTCGTTTATTCGCATTGGTAAATCCCGTGCATCAGCTGTTGCGAATTCTCAGGTTTAGCTGGTACTAAAGAAAGAAATTCTATAACACCATATTTGTATCTAGACTTTTTGCATTACCTTAGTCTACACATACCTCGATTAGACCGTGCTTAGACTTCGGCATTAGTTAAATTTTAGGACTATTCACCTGATCTTACTAAATGACTAGGTGAACAGATGAAATGAGTCGTTGGTTAATGATGCAGATCTAACGTGTTTAAATTACTAGTATTCACCAGCGTTATATTTATTACTAGTTAACTGATTATTTGCGATTATTACCTCCACCTTTTTTCAGTAAATAACATTATTGCATTTGCTGCCAATTAAGGATCACCGTTAACTATGGTAAATACCTCAAACACGGTGCACCATATAGTTTGGTAGGCACCGGACCTACGACTTTGGATGTAATGTGTCATAAAAATGGCACTTCTTTTTCAAAGTTCCGCTCCTATAATTCAAACCAAAGTAGTTTTCTTTACTCAGTGCATAATTATTATGTGCTTAAGCGAATCGTATTGTCCTACACAAAAAGATAAAATCAAAATCAAACGTTGACATGGATATTGCTTGCCATCGCATTATGATTTTAATCGTTTGATCAGTTAGTGAAATTGGTTGTTCTCAGTCAGAATTAAAACAAAAATGAAGCAAGTTCGCATAGAAGTAAAGCGCTTATCCCATAGCGACTAGTGGTTCATTTGTTATTTGCATAGTGAAAATAAACTTATAGAGGCGACATTGTGCGCATTGGAAATTAACTAATCAGTAGTATTATAAGCGATACAGATCAGTGGGCGCATACACTTATAAAAATACCACGGATTTACTGTATGCACATGGTTAGCGACATCCAATGTCAGATACGTCCGTCACTGCATTCTCCATAGGACAGTCCCAGGATGCCTGCGCCTACAGAGGAACCATGGGTATTTTGCGCTGCAGCATCCCCAGTTCCATTTACAGACCCATATTCAGTGCCAACCAGAAGGATTATGACCGAGAGGAATGCGGATGAGAGCCACGTTTCATCAACGGAGCCGGACAACACTCATTTTCAGGCAAACACAAGCATGCACTAAAGCCGATAGTTGCACCGTAGTCCGGTCCACACACAAACCATGTGGATAGAACTACGCTTTGAAGCTAACAAGGTCACGAGGACCGTGCAACAGTCCACTCCAGCAACGACCAACTGTCTCTTTGAGCCAGTATAGACGCGATGGTTGGTAGTAGACAGTTAAGCACCTTGTCAACAAACAAATCAAGAACAACCACAGCGGGGATGTAAAGCACCAGCCAATCACTTGAAATGATAATATGCGTACACATTCCTCCGTGTAAACCTATAAATACATGGATATTTTTGCAGACTGAGTTGCTTAATATCTGGTTTTGGACATAAAGACACTGAAATTCATGACATTAATCGAGTTTCTGAGCTTAATGAATTAACAACGTAACCAAGCATTCTTATAGAAAACAAGTGACGTTTTGGAAATTAAGCTTCTTGTAATAAATGAAATCTAATATGTAAGAGCACAGCTAATTCTCATCAATAACATAAGGCCAAGTAACATGAATGTTACATTCACCTAATGGAGGCCGTTTTTTACCAAACGGTGTTCTGCTCTTAATAATAGCATTTTGGGTACGTGTTCCAGTAGAACCATTCGTGCAGAGGACGAACATTCATCCTCCACGATGACATATATCAGTACCCTTATCAATGTGAAACCTGATTCAGTCAAACGATGCCCCATTGAGGTTGTTCATTGGGTGGGTCACACGTCCACCGAATCTCACCGACTTTGGTAAACTATGCAGGACAAGTACACCACGATTTCCGGACTCTGCATTATTATATTCTTTCCATACTCCAACACACGAAGCTTGTGGCATTTAGGCCAAAATTAATGTCGACGACGGAAAGCAAACCGGGTCCTAGTTCTCCCTTGTTGGCTCCCTGTTATATCCTCTCGATAACTGGCTATAACTATCCTTAGACAATCATTTCCACAGAGAAACCTATGTAGAAGAGGAACTTGGTACCTATCCTCTTTCACTCGACGACTGTTAGGCTAGTGCTTCCCAATTATCCTACATAGTGCTATGGTTGATATTACTACTTCTTTCACTTGTGCATTATACGCGTAACAGAAGGCCGTTAAAAAGTTAGGCACCAGACAATTAGTTTTGCACCTCCTTAAACGACCTTTTGAGTACCGCACACTCAACGGATTCCGAAATATTAGTATACGCAATGTTGACCCATGCGCATACATCTCTGACCAATTAATGCAGAACCAGCACGAATCTGATATGTATAACGTACGTGCATGCAATCAGTACCTATATTTACGCCTTGTATACTGATGCACACAACATTATAAGCTTGAACCATATTTTTCCCATAACATTAGATTCGTTTAAAACCGACTTCACCAAATCAGTCCTTTCCTCTTTTAAATAGTTTTGTATGTTCAATTTTCTTTTCTTATAACAAGTGTCTTCCCCCGAGACCCATTCAAGTACTACGGAGAGATTCTTGAATAAGTCTGGCTGATTTTGTCCTCATGCGTCACATATAATGATGGTTTTTGTAACATCGAAACAACAATCACTTAGTTTCAGGTGCATTAGATTAGAGCGCGGTGTTTCTTATTCACTTACCTCTTACTCCGCTGCAACCGAAACCAACCAACTACCTTTCAATTCACGGGAAACTATCAAGAAACTCAGAGTTTTTTTGGTCTGAATGGCAATGTTAAGTGAAGCGTGATTCTCCAATTTACCATCACACGCACACACTCTCAATATGCTTAAAGAAATAACACGTTTAAGAGCCTCTTGTATTAGTTGATCAGAAAGGAGATATTGGCCGTCTATCGCACAGTAGATAAATAAACAAGTTATTACTTTATAAACATCTAATCAAGCAGCTCGAGCTCTCGTCTTGTTGTATAATGGGACAGTCGTTCTCCTTCCTTCTTTCAGACGTAACAAGCATGCCAGAATTCGAGAGCGATTTCGGCAGAGCAATAATTGGTTGGAGTAGCCTCTCCGAAATGCTTTGACAGTTAGGATAAGAAGGTTGAGTGTTGAGTATTAAGACGAACATAACCTAGGACAACATAGAAATATTCATCAGAGGCAAGACTATCGAAAATATTTTGAAACCACCTTGGCTGATGCCGGATATGATGTTTCAGGGAATGCGGAACGTGATGATTTGATGTCGTGGAGTATCACCTTTAACAATGCCCTTAAAATGAAATGAGAGACTGAACGAAGTAAT